ACAAAGGGCATCGCTACTAGGAGCAAGGACGCTACTAGTAGCTCCTGGCCTTACTATTTAGAAGCAAGAAGCTACTAGGAACAGACGGCCTCGCTACTAGGCGCAAGGACACTACTAGTAGCCCCTGGCCTTACTACTAGGAGCAAGAATCTACTAGGAACAAAGGGCATCGTTATGCTATCACCTCTACCTCGCAGCCTAACCCTCCCCACCGCGCTCTACATGTCCAGGCGCGAATGGAAAGTCCGAAAGGAAGATGGCATGAATTACAAAGACAAGTCGTGCCTTGTTCGTTTGGACATTTTGTGGCCATTTTTTCTGGATAGGCTTGTGGATTTTTGAGGCAACCTACCGGACTGCTCTTCATCATTGACAGCAATGGGCAAAAGAAGAAGGAAAAGCTCAGGTACCGGCATGCCTTTTGACAGCAGAACCTAACAGGATCTCAACTGGATCTCAAGGCATCAATATCAAGAATCTGCAGCTGCTATGACTTGCCCTAAGCAGTGCGTGCCATTTTCTGAAACTGTTCTGAATGCAGAGTGAAAAAAACATTGCAGAAAACATACTAAAACCTTGTTAACTCAATACTTGTTGAACAAAAACGCTTTCTGCAGCTGCGATCTGTTCTTACGTGTATAGAAGGAGTTGGCTGTGCGCGCTTTGGAGACGGGTGTCGGTGCAGGTATGTCAAAGTGACCTTGCAAGCCACCGGACTTTGACTTGTAAATATGCTTGTTTGTGAAAGGCGACGCATATTTACAGTTATGCATATTTGCCTAAGTGCAGGAGTGATGTGTAGCTGTTTGCTGTGCCACCGCCTATTAGTGGCTTTGCTTTGCAGCTGCTTTGCCTTTGCAAGACCATTTTTGAGAATGGCAATACCGTTGTGTTCGTGGGCATCAATTCGTATGCGTACTTGCATGCGCACAACATCACACCTGCCATCATGGTCTTTGCACGTTGAGTGGCATGAGACTGCAAAGGTTGTGTGCTGTCTGTTTCTCGCTGTGTCGGCTATTAATGGCCTTGGTTTGGAAGTGCCATAACTTTGGCAGATTGTGTTTGTGAAGGGCTGCTGCTCTGTTTACGTGTAGAACTCAGTTGTATCAGAATTGAAAACCATTGACAAGACGCTTAACCATTGAAGCACCTTGTTGATAAACTGACCTTTTCTGGCAATGTTGATAAATTTGATCTTGTTTTCTGGGGGTCTATGGTCTATGCTGGAGTAGTTTGTATTTGTTGCTCTGTCCCTTCTTCTGAAGTCTCCTCAGGTATGGACATACTTGGATAGCACAAAGGGACCATGGTCTGTGTACCTGTCCGCCATTAATGGAAGAGGCATGCGGTACAATGTGTTTGGAATCTCGTTGGAAATCAGTATCAAGCACCGACTAGGTACTCAGCCTGCTTTTGGCTAAGGATACGCCCCACATGGAACCATACACTTGGAGAAGGAGGATGCATGTCCAGCATTCGATAGCTGAGTTGTTGATCATTGCTTTTTGTTGCCTCATGTTCTTTTCTGAGGGTTGATGGTCAATGGTTGTGTTCTGGAGAAATTGAAGACATCAGGCCTTCAATGCACACTTTACAGGTTGAGAAAAACAATCCGAGACGGCTCCTTCCACTTTTGGCCTTTCCAAGGTGATCTCGTACTCAGATTTCTTGGATGCAGTTTTTTAAGTGCCAGTGTGCAATTTTTTACTCAGATTCACCGGAAATCGGATGGAAGGTAAAAATTTTGCCAGTTGTACTTTGAACTGGGTAACAAAACCTTGACTTGCACTTGCACTGACACCAACTCCCGTGGCAGAGCCAAAGAGTTCAAGTTGGAACTCCATTTTGGAAGCCCTCCGTGTAATATATGTTTTGACGTGATCTTTAGACTTCGCAGCTTCCATTCAGACCATCTGACAATGTTTTGGATTTGAACATGTGCACCTGGCGCAAGGAGGTCCATTCTAAGTTGTTTGGAAACAGAACGCACAGCTGTGTTGCTTTTTAGGAAGCAAAGCGGAGCGTAGCTGCAAATCGAAAGCAACATGCTTTGAGGTTTCTCACTCACGCGCTGTTTCACATTGTAAAGCTGCTCCCCGAAGCAAAATGCTTCAGTCACTGCCAAACTGCCCGACTGGCTTCCAACCAAAAGACGGCGTGTTTAAGGCTGAATTGCTTTCTCAATGTATTGGTTGAAGAATGTGCAAGTAAAGCTGTTCAATTAGTGCAGTTTCTGCTATCCAAATAGGCATTGTGCCTCAAAATTGCAGGGGCGGGAAAGACTAGCGTGTCAACAAATCCTCTTTTTGATGAGCTCAACAGCATCTGAGACAGACGTGGTTATTCAAGAGCAGGCCGATGAAAACCGCGGAGATGGGAAGATCAACTGTGTCTGCAATCACTGAGATACGCTTGAGTGTTCTTTAGTCCAAAGTTCGGACAGACTTTTGGTTGACAAACTTGCGGCCGATAGCAACAGTGTAGCACGCTATGACAGACAAAGAGATCCCCAACGATGAGGCCAGCGGAAACTTGCTTTCCTGTTTAGCCAATAGGACTGGTTCGCTATTAGGTTGGAGGCCATTGCCATTAGGTTGGAGGCCATCGCTTTCAAAGAACCATCTCAGATACTGGAAGCTGAAGCTGTTGAAGTTGAGGTCCATTCTTAAAGCCATTCAATTCCGATTTGTAGATGAAACAGATGCACGCCCTTGCACGTCTTTTCGGTCTCTCACCTTTGACAGGGAGTTCGAGAACGGTGTGCGGCTCGTGCGCCGAATGCTTGCGGGCTTTTGTGTCTGTGCGCCGGGATGACGCTCCTCTTCGTTGCCTTCCAGGCGGTGAAACGATGGCGCAAAAAAAAAGACGCGTAGCGTGCTTTTGCGATCAACTTGTGCAAGTGCCCCCCAAGACATCCAGGCTGAAGAAGGTGTAGGTCGATATCAAGTTTTGCGTCAATTAGGGTTGATTCACTCGTCGATTCCGATCCCACTTATAGAATAGTGAAGCACACCACGTAGACAACACTTCTGAGGGCCCATCTTGGTGCGTGCCTTTTCAATTCATTGATTTTGTTGGCCACTCAACTTTATGTTTCGCGTGTGGAGCACTCGAATCAAGCTGATATAGCTCCACAGGGTGTTGCCTTCTCGAGGACTTGAGAAAGCTGGACAGTGTTGGACATAGTATGTGAAAGCATCCAGTGTCCACAGATTGACAAAACCCGGAATGTGCCACAGCAGTCAATTCCAGAGCTGGAATGTTGCTTCTAGAGATTACTTCAAAGATACATATATACATGAATCTAACTTCCCATGATTATGCTCTTTGTTCCCCAGCACGTCTTTGTTCACTTTGAGGAAGCGCAAAATGCGGCACCACAGCGCATCAGTGAAGCCGGCTTGGGAGATTTTGGCTTCTATACGCTGGCCAACTTCTACTTCTCGTTGCTTCTTGGAAATCAGGTGCGGTTTCAATCTTCCAAGTCTCATTGGTGACCACTGCGACGACGACCGCTTTGTGTGTGTGCTTATGTTTCCTTGGATTCCCATTATCAAACGCGAAATCTTGCACTTTGATCGGCCGCGTCTCCCTAGTAAACAAGCATATGATTTGGTGAACGAACAGTGCAGGTGGCTCCTTATTTTATTCAACGCATGAGTGGAAGAGTCACTTTGCCAATCGCCGCGGTTGGCTTCGTTTTGTTTATCGCATCTTTGCTGACCGTGAGCCACCTTCCGAGTAGCTCAGCTGAACGCTAGTCCTGTACTATTCAGGAGATCGGATATATAGTGATAGATGCATTGTTGCAATTGTACTATTTCAACTGCAGCATTGGCAAGATTTTTCTCAGTATTGAAGATTGAACCGTATTGAGCAGTATTGAAAATAGAATTGTCGACTCGTCATCCTAGTAGCGATGCCCTTGTTCCTAGTAGCTTCTTGTTGCTAGTAGTAAGGCCAGGAGCCCTTAGTAGCGTCCTTTGCCCTTTGCTCCTAGTAGCAAGAATGCTCCTACTAGTTCCATTGCCGAGGGAAGCTGATCGAAAACGCTCCAGTTGCCATCGCTGTGATGGTTCAATTGGTGACGCTCTTGAGCGGCCTCATTGGAGGAGTGGGTCGAGTGGGTTGATCTGGTGGGAAAAGTCTTAGCTGACTCTTTCTGCGGACCTAAAGGTGTACCGACGGAATGATTTGAATGTGCAGTGCTCTTGCATTTCTTCCCCGCAAAGCAACATGCGCCAACAAAGTACGCAAAAATGGAGTTCAACGTTCAACTACGGCAACATGCCAAACAAGTCCAACTCAAAGGACTACTGTGGCCTTCACAGGGTTACGTTCTGACGCACTATGCTCCCGAGCATTTGTTAAACTGGTACATGCCTCTTTGCAGCAGTTCATTGAAGTCCGCATTGTCACATACCAGCCAAGTGATCTAAATCTATTTCACAGCGGATGAAGCATTGTGGTGCTGATTTTGTGACAAGTTTCCAGGTGGCACGTTTTCGTAAGGTCGATTTTCTCGCTTTGCTTCTTTGCAAGCGGATTTTTGGGCCCAGCAGTTGTAGCACCGGAGCTTCTGACTGGTCCCGACAACTTGGTGGCACCAGTGACTTTATTGGTTCTGGCAATCTCAGGTCACGCAGTTTGGACATCGAAGAGTTGAGTGTTGAGTCACGTGTGAAGTTGATGCAACCAGAAAACCTCAGCATTTCTCACTTGGATGCAACCCTCGTCTTCATCGGGAGGCGTCCTGTTCCTTTGTGCTCTTCCCAGCGACGGACCCGCCGGCGACGCAAGCGACGACTCGGAGGGCTTGCGCTCGCGCTCTTCTCGATCGCCACGGGCCGTGGGCCCAGCACGGCTGCTCTGGGAAGCACCGGCACGGCGCTTGGGCTTTGTGGCCTTGGCTGAAGGCCCGAAGGGGCCCGAAGACAAAGGAGAATTGGAGGATTTGTGATTTCAGTATTTTTTTTTTGCAACCGTTAAGGACTATAAAAGTCAAAACGAGAAGCAGAATGCACTCTTGCAAAGTGAACACCTCCAGTTGTGCATAATTTTCCGATGGTTCTTTGTGGAAGGCGAGTCTTCCTTGAGATTTTGGCACACGGATATGTTTAAGATGACAATATATCTATCGGAAACTGTTGGTGAACTTCTAGTTGTGGACAATGTTACGAACTTTCATGTGTCAATCTTCCTCTATCAAGAGCTAGGTCTGTGCTGTGCCACTCATGGCTGACCAAAGCAGAAGATGTTTAGCAGTTTAGCCAAAGACGATTGGATTCCAAGCAGCTCTTGAATCGTAGTGAAAAGGAACTGTTGAGGTTTGGATTCTCAAAATGCCAGATGAAGTGCAGTCAGGCCCTCAAGGCGATTACTGTATATAATCTGTATATACTTATGACTTATGACTTACTTATGACTCTTAACATCTTCTTTTGAGACTCTTATGATTCGTCCGCTTATGACAGTTGTTTGTTGGCTCCGCGGGAGGCTGGTGCTTAAATGCTTTTGTGTCCGTGGTGCCGCCGATTCTCACAGCGAGCTGGATTGCACGCTCTGACTCCTCCTTCCATGACCGAAGGGAGATGGGACAGTTGTAAAACATAAACTTAATAACAAGAAGCTACTACAAACAAAGGGCATCGCTACTAGGAGCAAGGACGCTACTAGTAGCTCCTGGCCTTACTACTAGTAGCAAGAAGCTACTAGTAACATAAACCTAGTTGATGAGCTTACTTTTCACATGGCCACAATTGAGGAGAAGTTCCAGCTGGTCTTGTTGATGAACGGTTTTGGTCACATCGCAGCGAGTCTGCTCTACGCACCTTTGGCAAACCGCTTTGGAAGGCGAGATGAGAGAAATGAGAGAGGAAAGAAAGACAGAAAGCAAGGAACATGAAAAGTCTAGGGTCAAAGAAAAAACAAGATGGAACTGGAACCCGAATGCACACACATCACACGTACCCCAACACAAACGGCCAAATGTTGTTTGACACTCTTGCGTGACACTCTCCTAAGACAGACATTATGGGGTGACATGCTTCTAGAATACTCTTGTAGGACACGCTTGTGTGACACTTTTGCTTCACACTCTTGTGAAACACTATTCCAGGACACTCTTCTGGAAAACTCTTGTAGGGCACTCTTGCAGGGCAATCTTGTAGGATACCCTTGTGAGACACTCTTGTAAGGCACTCTTGTGTGACACTCTTTGCTCTTATCGAATGCTCTCGTGGGTCATTCTGCAAGGCAGTGTTGTAGGACTCTCTGGACACTCCTGTATTACACTCTTGTAGGCCACCCTTGTGGACACTGTAAGACACTCTTGCTTGACATTTGTGCGACAGTTGCAAGGACACTGTGGGACACTGTAGGGCACTCTTGTAGGACACGTGTGCTTCCTGTTCGGCAGAGAGCCAGGTAAACACATTTTTCACCGAGGCCGCGCGGATGGCGCAGCGACATCACAGATGTATTTTCGCCGCGCTGTGGGACTGTTGGACACTCTTGCCGGAGACGCTTCTACGAAATCCGGACTACTGATGGTCACGCCTTCAAAACGAGCATATACGTCCTCCAAAAATTCACGCGCCCAGCCTTCAGAAAGAACATTTCGCACAAGACTTCTTCCAGAAGACAGACGTGTAGCCTCTAAAACGAGCATTTTGTATGAGACTTCCACCAAAAGTGAAGCGGGAAGTCTCATCAAAGCAAACACATCAAGCATCCCTGCCAAGCAGTCGCAATCTCAAAACCACAGACGATCTTCATGTTACAGCGACATTCACCTCCACCAAACGTCAGAACCTCAAACTTACTTCCACACCTCCAACGCGCACACCGTACTGCGCCTGCCACGAAAAGCTATTACATGTTTTAATCGCACACTGTTTGAAATGATTTCGACACC